TGTGTGTGTGTGTGTGTGTGTGTGTGCATGTGTATTTTTAAACTTAAATCATTTCCCTGTGTTATATAAGTATAATTATAAGGTTTAATATTTACTGAGTATTTAACGTGCTAAGAATTGGGAATGTAGAAGTGAACAGGACAGAACCACTCTTATGGAGCAGACTACAAAAGTAAAATAATGTCTACATAATACTCAATTGTGTGGGCTATATTGTAGTTTCTTTAATTATTATATTGCTGATGGAAGTAGATTTTATTTCCTTTACATTATTTGTTCCTAAAAATATAGGGAACATATTTATACAGAAAGCTTTCCTCTTATTTTGGTTTGTTACCTTAATTTTGATACCTAGAATTAAAATGATTGGATCAAAGGATAAGACTGTGTTAAGATATTTGTTAAGTGTTTATAGATTATTTTCTAAAAGGATTACTTGAACATGGCAATAAATTCCTTGTGTTCAACACTGTTGTTTAAAAGACAGTTGATTGCTTTGATAAACGTGATTTCTTATTTTTCTACTTTGTTTGGGGACAGATGTTAAAATAGTGGTTAAAATAACCTATGTCCACTGTAAAAAAAAAATTTAAATATAAAAGCAGCACATCCATACATTTTATCAAGAGAGGTAACAAATTGATTTAACTTAAAGGATGACTTGAATTCAGTAATGTGCTCTGCTGCGGCCCAGTGGATCCAGGTGCCCTGACTCTTGTGATCTGCTAGAGCCTCATCTACAGCACCATGTGCCTGCCTGTGTTCACACTCGAATGTGTAAACCGCAGGGAAAATTTGGTTCTTCTATTCTTTTTGTGTTACCTCTGTAAATGTGAATGACATTTTCCTATGTTATTAAATAATTTTAAAACCTTAACAGTAGACTTGTATTACCTCATACAGATACTCTTATTGTAAGTTTTGCTTGTAATTCTTACCTTTCACAGTTGGTTTCCTAACAGAACACTGTCCATATAGGTTAGCTGTGTCTTTCTATGACATTCTGATCAAACACCTCTTTTGACCCAACTTTAGTCATTTATATACATACAATTGAGCATTCTAATATTTGCAGATAAAATCAGTAGTATCTATAGTTATCTGATATGCTAATTACATTTGACAGCTGAGTAAATGATAGTAAAAGGAATGTTTGCTATGAATTTATTTTTTATTCGTACTTTGTAAAATCAGCATATTCTACTATTGTTACTGAACTCATGTTAAATTTTAAAAATTCACTACTAGGATTAATGTGGAAAGGATTATTTTAAGAACTCAGTGCTCAAACTTGAGTGATGAAAAGGCTAAAATACCTGCCTGAGTACTGAGCCTTGGAGACAGGAAATTTGATTTTGGGATAGGGATCTTCTCATTTTTGTACTGAAATTTTATATCATTTCTTGCCTCAGATAAGTTATTTCACTTATCACAATGAAATTGTAAATGAGCTTCTGGGACTCTGTAGAGAATTTTCTGCTTTATTTACAGTTTTTATAGGATGTGATCTTATATTCTCAGTACTTTAAAACATAAAGTAAACATAATTTTTTCCCCTCAAACAGGTAATAAAAACTTTAGATCCCCAATTAAATCCAGCGTCAGCTGAAATAATGCTACTTAGAAAGCAGTTGGCAGAGAAAGAGAGAAGAATTGAGATTTTGGAGGTAAAACTTCCACATTTATTCTTGTATCCTCTTAATTGTCCTGTGGATCCTGGTGATCAACTGCTGTCATATGTTGTCATTAACATCAAGTTTTGTAGAAAGTTCCAACTGTTGATATTCACCACTTAGTGTGTTTATTACAAAGCATATCACTACCTCAGTAGCTTTGTACATAGCAATATTTATGTATCTTTATTTGCTGCCCTATAGCTCTTTCCCTCTGTGACTGCTAATCATGTACATGCCCTTAACTTTCTAATAGAATCCTGTTATCATCCCTCTTATAATTGTATGAATGTGATTTCACTCACAAAAATAGAAAAGAACTGAGTTCAAATTCTAAAGGAGATACTGTATGCACTCAGTTAATCCTATTTATCTTAATTTTCTCCCTGATTTCTACCTGCACCCAAACAAACCTAGCTGTAATGTTTAGGAGAAGGTGTTACAGAATCCCAGCGATTCCCAGAAATAGTGATCTATAATCACGCAAAGTTATATTAGTAATGGCATGATTTTATTGATTACTTAAGTCTTTACATGTTAAAGTTTTTTTGTGTGCCAGTGGTTATGGTTTTATCATTTTTATGAGCTTGTGTAAGAATATTAATATGTACTTATATGCTTTAGATTTTATAATTGGGCATGTTCTAGTTTGTTTTGCAAAGTATTTTATAAAATACCATTCTTAATACTGTGATAAGACTTGATGTTATACACTTCCTCTTAACAACATGTGCATATTTACAGAGGCAGGTTGAATTCTATGCTCTGGCCTTGAAATTCTCAGAAATGGTAGTTGTTATCATTTTAAATTAACTGGGAACATTATATTTCAAAGAAAAGCATCCTATTCATGTGTCTTTTTTCTGGTATTTTTTCTGAGCAAGTAGGTATGGGCTGATTGGAAGTATTTTTACTTAAACACTTAACAACCTTACCATCTAGAGGAGGCCCCATGCTGATGTGCACTCGTTGTCAGTGCTTGCTCAGACCGTGTCCTGTGTTTGAAAAAGCATTGAGAAGGGATAATGTGTCTGAAGAGGGGGTAGTAGTTCTTTGAGGCCTAACCCAAGTGTTCTTTCCTCTGGATAACTCTTCTTATCTTCCTTAGTCTAAATTTAGTTACCTCTCTGTAATTAGTGCATGTGCTTGGAGCTCACTCATTGCATAGCTTGTTTTTGTCCTTTTGTCTTGTTTTTTTTCCACATACTTTAAGGGCAAATTCTGTATGTTTTTACTGCCTCCTCCTCCTCCTTACTTTTGATTCCTCCATGGGTGCAACTTTGTTTTAATACCTAAATCAGTTTTGCTTTCTCAAGATATGGGGAACAATAATACAAGAAGTATTAGGAGTGTGTGTGTGTGTGTGTGTGTGTGTGTGTGTGTATATGTGTGTTTTGAAATCAGTTTCTATGAGTAAAATCTGAGACATTATTAGTCACAAATCTTACTCTTTCCTAAAGGTGCTGTGCATGTGTTTTTGCATGATTCTATTTACATTTGACTTGTGTGCCTCAGAAATGCATTCTTTTATTCTTTGAACAGTGAGATAGTGAAGAAATGATTCTGTTTTGGATAATAAGGGGCAATTTGGGAGATCTTAATTTTTTCTCATACCTTTTTCCAGAGTGAATGTAAAGTAGCAAAATTCCGTGATTATGAAGAAAAACTCATTGTTTCTGCCTGGTATAATAAGGTGAGTGAAAATTTAGCCAATGATGGGATATTTCGAACAGGGTGTATCAGACTTTTATGAGGAGCAATGGGACGAAACATTACATAAAGCAGGACATGACATAGAGTATTTAGGTATCTAACCAAAACAGAAGTTACACTGACACTGTGTATTACACTCACACATTTTCATTCATATTCTATTTCTTTAAATATTAGTCATAATTCACTAAATTGATGTTGTGACTCATTAAGTTTTAGCTGATGCTCATTAAGCACAGACATAACAAGTAATTGCCATATTTGAACTGAAATTTTTAATTTATACTCATGAAGGGTGTCTGAAATGTATGAATATCTGAGTAACGCAAAACTAGGCAGGCATTACTCTTCCATAATAGTCTCTGTCTTACCAAGGAAGAAATATCATGAAGTAATTTGAAAAATACTTTGTTTTATAATCCTTAGTATCGGTGAAATGTTTTCAAGAATAGCATTTCAAGGGATATAAGGTTCTTTTGAGTTACTCTAATCAGAATAGAAAATCGTTTCTCCATGATCCACAATTATGCATCATTCAGTCTGAGAGAATTTTAGACATGTCATGGGTGAATGCCACACTTCATGTAAGACTAGTTGTCCTTCCATGTGAGGCATCACGCCCGCCTTGTTCTTTCACGGCACCGTACTTTCTGTCTGTGTTTGGGGAAATCTGGCTTATATTAGGAGGATCTTGAGGGAACTTCATGAAGGATGTTTCCAGAACTATTCCCCATCCGTTTTTCCATCCTACTTGAGGGCAGGGACTATATATTATTCTCTTTATTCCTCTATAAATTCTTAATGTCTTAAATCAATGAAGATAACAGAGCCAAGTAATAAATCACTTATTTTATTTTCAGTCTATTATTTGTTGAGTATCTTACTATATCCCATGTACTTAATTGGCTACTAGTGATGCTGAGTTCCGTAAAACTGTTTCATTATGAGATTTATCTATTGAGAGAGTAATGCTTTTTCTCACAAGAAGCCCAACAGTCAAAACTATAGTAATTATATATCAAAGTATGCAGGGACCATACTCGAAGGACTGTGTAAGCTGTTCTGTGTCCTGTGTCTGTGCAGAGCCAGTGTAGAGAATGTCCAAACACAAAAACTTGCTTTGGAACATTTTTCTATTATTATAATTGACCTAATTTCATCATATTATTTTAAACTACTGTTTTTATTGATTTCACATTTAGTACTTTAAAGTAAACAAATTGAGTTTTTTGCCTTTTTTTAGTATTGCCATGATCTGTCAGCTTTTAGATCCACATTTCCGTCCATAGAAATGAAGAAAACGTCAGCTTCCTGGGATTGAGGATTAAATGACATATATGAAAGGTACTTTGTAAACTACATATTTTGTCACATATCTATTTTTTTCCATTTTTTTTTTTTTTTGTTTAGAGTCTGGCAATCCAGAAACTGGGGATGGAGTCCAGGCTCGTGAGCGGCGCTTGCAAAGACCCCAGCCCCTGCACCCCTGCACGATCCTTCTTGGCACAGCAGCGGCACATCACCAGCACCCGAAGGAATCTGTCTGTTAGGGTTCCCGCTGCAACATCTGATTAAACCGCAAAAGAAAACAGAAACAGAAGTGCCCTTAAAATGTTTTGTATTTTTCACCACTGGATTAAAAAAGATGAAGATGCTTGACACAATTGACATAGGCTATGTTGGAATCAAAATGCCACAAATTGATTTTGCTGGCTAACTTTGGAAACAGAGTACAAAATTAGCTGTCTGTCTGGGGAGCACATTTAGAATAATTAAAAGATATAATTAAGCACATGTCAAACAAACATTTGTCTTTTGAGTATTGTAATTTCAACTCGACTGTGCTTTATTTTAATGTTTTCCTGTTATGCCAGAAATGTGATTAATTTCCAGCATGTAATCAGTAATATACAATTTTAAAATCTAGATTTATGTTATTGGTTCATATAATAATAGTCTTGATGTAGGCACACGGCAAACTATACAAGGGTGATTTCTCTGACTTGATACATTTGAGATTTTACTTCTATCTACACATTCTTTTGATTAGATGTATTTTGGCACACCATGGAAAGTGAAATGTTTGGCATATTTGACCATGGCAATGACTTTGCCATAGTGAAAGACCACAAATTCTGAAAAGGCCATAGTTTTCACATGTATCTACTAAAAACAAGGGCTTCTGGAGAGCTTGGTTCAAGTGTTAGAAGGTGGGAAATAATTCACATTTTTAAGAGGTGACTGATAGAAAGCAAGCTGAAAAATAATACTTGGTGTGAAATGTTCACCTCCTTTAAATGTAATCAATGTGAATGTATTGATATTCTCATTTACTGCTTTTCAGCTTAAAATTATCTTCCTAAAAATGACATTCCATAATATATTAATTTTACCTCTTTATTGAAGAGACATGTTACAGTAATGAAACAGCTTATGATCAGTTTGATTTTTGTTTACTTATTAAGGAGTTTATCATAGGCTGAATTTGTGGTTTCAGTTAATTTCTGCTAAAAGCTCTTATTTTCAAATATGTTTCTAACTTTGGAGATCATTTCTGAAAGTCTCAACTTGGAACATCAGTTAAATTGTGTTATGTCTGTGCTGTTTAGTATTGTTGCCAGAAGCCACATGAGTTAATGAGTTTATGAGGTTAGCCTCATTAAAACAAAAAATTAAGTCTTGGGTTACACCAGCCACATATCTCGCACTCACTAGCTTCATGTGGCTAGTGGCTACTTTATTGCCCAGTCCAAATATAGAATATTTCCATCACTGCAGATTTCTGTTGGACAGTGCTGTACTTAATCTTTTTGTAAAAGTAAAATTAGAAATACGTTTTTTGGTATTAAAGCACAAAAAATAAAAAGCATTTGAACTAGTCAGAAATAATGAGAAATTGAATTGTTATATAATATCTTATATACTATGTAGTTAAATACCATATATAATGATAACTATAGTTAATTTTTCCAGAGCTTTTTAACAAATACCAGTATGTGTGGACCAGAGAGCAGCATACTTTCTGTGAAGGCACAGATAGTAAATATTTTAGGCTTTGTGGATTACATAGTCTCTGTCTCAAGTACTCAGTTCTGCCCTTAAGATATGAAAGAAGTCATACACAATATGTAAACAAAAGGGATGTTGCTGTAGTTCCATAAAATTTTATTTACAGCAACAGGTAAGCTGGATGTGGCTAGTAAGTTCCACACCCGTGGTCCAGTTTTTGTTCTTAGACATTCTTTCCAAATGAGAGTATTGTTCCATTTGCAGTATTCATTTAGAGAACTTGGCCAGTTATTATTTTAATGACTAAAACTATAAGAATTTCATGCTGCATCTGGGTCTCAGATTAGGGAGCATCTGCCAGCATATTTTGTTTATCAGGGTTACTTCTGACTACCTCTCAGATTTCACTATTTTTTATCTCTACAATTGTTGGTTTGCATTTTTGTATACTCTTGTAGTGTCCACTTGCCTGTGACTTTTGGTGAAATGAAATAAGACTTTGTTAGCATGCTATTTAAAATTTTCTAAATATTGTGGCATTTTAGTATATTTTAGTCTTAATACATCCTACCCCTTTGATGTTTCTCCTTGCTCATAATTGAGATTTTATAAGCTCTTCAAGCTCTCTTTTAATGGACTGTATTATAAAACATCAACTTCAGTAAATCAGCTTTCCAGTTAGATTGATAATAAAATTTTCAATTATACTTGAAATTCCTAAAAAAATTCAAAACCATTTCTGAATAAGGACTTAAAGATAATTTTTTTTCATCATAGAGAAAAAGTAGATTTTTCTCATTTATCATTTTTCTAGTTTATAAATCGAATTTAAATTTGATTATATAGGTATTTATACAAGAAGAGCATAATGTAATTTGAAGTTCTGTATTGTGAATTTACTACAGCAATTCAGGAACTGATCAGAACTGAGATTCTTTTCCATATCTGATTAATGTAGTAAGATTGACACCCTGTGGGTGGTGACGCATTATTAATAGTTCATCACACACCATGATTTCTAATATCTGTTTTGTGAGGGAGACTTAAATGCATATATTGTGGAAGAGATAATTCAGCATTTATCTGTTTGATAAGAAATTGAATATATCCATGATTATAAAGTAAAAGCACAGACCAATTTGGAAATGGTCTTGAGGGCCGGGGATTTAGCTCAGTGGTTCTGCCACCTGCTTTGCAAGCACAAAATCCCGAGTTCGATCCCTGGTAAAAAAAAAAAAAAAAAAAGAAAAGAAAAAAGAAAGGAAATGGTCTTTAATTTTGAAAATTTTCTCTAACATTAATCTTCCTTTTTCTTTCTAAATTGTATACATATGACAGTGATGTTTATCTTGAGATTAACTTAATATATTGAGAAATCTTTGAAGTTTTTCTATTTTTACAGTCAATAGGCTAATTTATTATAGCTTAAGAATGTCTCTGTCTAGAATGTTAAAATGAATATTCTTCATTAGGGTACCTTCATCTTTGATAACTGGAGTTCTGATTTTAGTAATTGATTTGATTTATTAATGCTTCCATGACCATACTAGTTTCTATGTTGTGGCATATCTTGCCCTTGGGGAGTAGGTATGGCTTTTAGGGCACAACGCTGTCTGTATTACAGTCTCTATGTGTATATTTAATGAGAAATATTCCTTCATAAAAATTTGTGTATGTGGTTGTATGCATACCTTCTCATTGTGACATGTACATTGCAAAGAAGAAGTTTGGAAATTTGCAAAGCATAAACCATAAAATACTGTGTAGTAATAAACACGTGAAAGCTTAAAAGTAATGTTTAAAAATATCCCTTCTATTTTCTATTGCAAAGACTTTGACACTTCAAAAATAGAAGCAATATTTGATTTATTTTTGTATGTATTTAGAATATTATTTTAAATAAATGATTGTCCAATAATAGTTGTGAAATGTTTTACTTAAATAAACCTGCTTCTAATTGTTGGCTGTGATTTTTTAAAATACATTTTTGTGGTACATAATGAGTATACTTGTTATGTGTAGTTGGTCCATGGACATAACACATCTGACTTCCTTTTATCTTCCCTTTTGCTCTGTCCCTCCATCTCATTCCATTTGTATATTATCAGTCTTTTACTCTTTATTTATACTTTGTGCTTCTCATATAAGAAAAATAACATAGCATAAAAGCTTATGTGTCTGATTTGTTTCACCGAACATGAATTTAAAGTGCAGTGCCATGGATTTAGCTCAGTAGCACTGTGTCTGCCTCACAAATGCAAGGTCCTGAGTTTGATCCCTCCACTGGGGGGGAAAAACATTTTGCTACATTATTCAAATTATCCTCCTTTAGTATTCCATTATGTGTAAATACTATAATTTCTTTATTCATCTGTTGATGGACATTTAGGCAGCTTCCAAGATTCAGCTATTATGAATTGTGCTGCTATAAATATGCTTTTCATCGATAACTGTAACATGATGTCTTTTAGGAGGATACCTGGAAGAGAAATGGAGTTTCTCCTTGAGTTTTTTGAGGAATCTTCATGATTTCCATACTAGTTTTACTAGTGTACATTCCTACCAGCAGTGTAAAAGGGCTCATTGTTCCTCACAACCTCACCAGCATTTGTTGTTACTGGATTTCTTGACAGGCAGTCTTTCTGGAGTAAGATGCAATCTTGTTATTTTAGTTTGTATTTTTCTAATGGCCAGCAGTGCTGAACGTTTTCTTCATGTATTCATTGGCCATTTGATCTTCTGAGAGGTGTCTGTAGATTTCAGTGGCTCATTTTTTTGCGGGGGGTCTAATTTTTTTCATTGCTTGATATATCTCAGGTATTACTCCTCTGACTGGGGTGTATCTGACAAAATGTTTTCCATTACGTAGGTTGTCTTTTTACTCTTGGTTACTCCCTTTGCTATGTAGCTTTTTAATTGGATATGACCCCATTTTGTAATTCTTGATGTTTTTTCCGCACAACCAGGATTCTGTTCTAAACTACACCTGTGATTTAAAAGAGTTTACCTATTTCATCTTCTAGCAGGCTATATTTCTAAAAATTTTATCCATTTTTATTTTAGTTTATTACATGTGATACATAGGGGTCTAGCTTCATTCTTCTATGTATTGATGGCCAGTTTTCCCAGCCTCACTTGCTGAAGAGACTGTTTTTCCTCCAGCATGTTTTTGGCCCTTTTGTCAAAGGTCAGTAGTATGCTTGGGTTTGTTTCTGCATCCTCTATTCTGTTCCAATGGCCAACATGTCTTGTTTTTGTGTCACTACCTTGCTGTGTTTATCATTGTAGCTTTGTACTTTAACTTGAAGTCTAGGATTGTGATGGCTTCTGCTTTGCCCTTGATGGCCAGGATGGATTTTGCTATTCTGTATTGTTCCATATAAAATTTTAGAACTGTTTTCTCTAGTTCTGTAAAAAATGCTGTTGATATTTTGATTGGGATTGCATTAAATCTGCATATCAGTTTGGGAAGTGTGGCTATTTTGACAGTTCTAATAATCCAAGAACCAGTGATACGTTTCCCTCTTCAGTCTCTTTTCATCAGAGTACTGTATTTTCATTGTAGAGATTTTCCTTGGTTAGGTTCATTCCTAAGGATTTAATTCTTGATGCTGTTATAAATGATATTATTTTCCTGATTTCTTGTCATTGGGTTCATTGTTGGTATACAGGAACACTGTTGATTTTTGTGTGTTTTTGTATCCTCCTACATTGCTGAATTTGGTTATTAACTTTAGGAGTCTTGGTGGATTGTTAGGGGGATATTCTATGTAAAGGATCATGCTGTCATCTGCACACCAAAACTTTGAATTCTTCCTTCCCAAGGCTATACTTTCAGGGATCATTTCTATAGTTGGTGAATTCTCCTTTCCCTATACATCTTTTTTTTATTTCTTTCTCTTGTCTGATTGCTCTGGCTAATGACTGAGTATTATATTGAACAGGAATGGTGATAATGGATGCACTTGTCTTGTTCCTGCTTTGAAGGAAAAGCATTCAGCTTTTCCTGTTTAATATGATGTTGACAGTTGTCAAGTGGAATTTATCAGATTGAAACAAGGGTCTTCTATACCTATTCAGTGTTTTTATCGGGAATGGATATTACCCTTTGTCAA